CCACTCAGCACATTTAGACCAGTCCAGCTTCGGCTCAGCATGAAGGCAGACTCTTCGGCAGACTCGAAATCCGTTTCTGAAACCCATCTCATATTCCTCTTGGGTATAGACACGGACCTTGAGTGAAGCCTCAGCATCAGCCAGCTTCTTCTGGGTCTCCTCCAAGTCTTCCTTGGATTTCTTCAACTCATCAGCGACTTTGGAGGAGGAACCCTTCAGCTCATTCAGCTCTTGCTGAATTTGGAAAGCCTTTGTCTGAGCTTGGGCCACTTCAACTTTCTGGATCAGCAGTTGATCCTCAGCCTCTTGGAATTTAGCTCTTTGAGCTTCAGCAGCAGCAGCAGCCTCTGAGAGTTGGACGTCTTTGGCCAAGAGCAACTCTTCAGCAGCCATTCGGCTGGCTTCAAGAGCCTCTAGACGCTGCTGCACTTCAGCTTGTGCAGCAGTTCCTTGAATTCGGCTCTCAATAGCAGCCTTGAACTTGGAGACGTCCACTCCCATATGCTCCTGGAGGAATTTTTCCCCTTCCATCAGTGGGGGAAAAACCTCCATCTCCATAGCATCGCAGAAGGTTTTCAGAGCTTCGGCAGCTTTTTTACCGTACTCCTCAACCTCCTGCTGCTTCTCTTCAGCTGCTGCTTGCTTCAGCTTAGCAAGCTTAACTTCCTCTTCAGCCACCTTCCTTTCGTGCACAGCAGCGTCTACCCTATCTTGTAGGGTATCAATCAGCTCAACAGTGAGAGTCTGATTGTGCACGAACTGAAAACAGGAAGACAAAAAATAAGTAAAAAAAAATAGAGCTGAATTTCGGAGGAAATGAAGGAAAATTACCTGCATCATCAGCAGTTGGTTAGACCTGGCTGGGTCAGGAACTGATCTACTGGATTCGCCCATCCCAGCAGTGGCCTTCAGCGACCAGATCCTTGCCCTGTCTACTTCGGACATGCCAGCAAAACTGCCGAAGTAGGCTTCAGCTCCTTCTCGGTTTTGACCCCATATGAGGTCCCAGATGTGATCTGGGATTGGAATTCGGGGGGCCGAGAAACCCATTTCTCCAGAATGCAGAGTCTGGAAAGAAGGGAAGGACGACGATGGAGCTTGATTAGCTTTGGTTGTCTCAGCATCGTCCTTCTCAGAGGAGTCAAGTACTATGACCTCCTCTTCTTCAGGGGTGAGGACGAAAGCCTCAACCTCTCTTGCGATATCTGCCGTGAAGCCTTCAGCACTTGACATCACGGCATCTTTATTTTCGTGCTCAGCAGCACTCTCCTTGATTTCTTCTTGGACCCCTCCCTTAGGTCCGGGAGTTCTCTGATCCACCTCCATCTCAGGAGGTGGTGGAGGGGTCTTTTGAGGAGATTGGGGTGTTGGCTGGGGAACCCTCGGCGATCCATTGCCTTCCTCAGGTTCCCTTATTGCGACGCCGATGGTCATCGGCCTCTGCTGAAAATCATGAGGGCCGATGATGGCCATCCTTCGGCGCCTTTTCAGAAGGGGCTGCTCGTCCATATCTGAATCTGAAGACTCTTGTATTTGATCTTCGGGACGAACAGGAGCTTTGCCTTCTCTGTGTCTGTTACTCTCTTCAGACTGTAACAGACAGGGGGGAAGAAGAGTGTGAGTAAAAAAAAAAAAAAAAAAAAAAAAAAGAAAAAAGTTGTCTAAAAACTCACCGAGGTCTTCAGCAAAGCCTCGTCTTCTTCAGCTGCTCTAGCTGCAGCTTCGGCTTCAGCAGCTCTGGAGGACCCTTCTCCTCCTTCACAAGCCTCAAGTACCCGTGCAACCTCTTCGGCTGTGCGGGCAGCTTCAGCTTCTTCTTCCAGCAGCTGAAACAAGGGATCCCTCTTCTCCCACCAAGGCTTCTGCCTCTGATACAGAGCAACAGCCTCAATTTGGAAGTGGGAAGAGTCTAGGTGAACCTCTCGGCGCCTTGGTTCAGTGATAGGGGGAGCCCGATCAGTTACGACTCGTTCTCGGTTGACGCCAAGGCGAGCGTAATCAATGCCGACGTTGGTCTCGTCCCGTTCTGAAAAAGAAAAGGGGAGAGGTCAATTCAGTTAGTTCGGCACATCACAAGAAAGCAAAATGAAAGAAGAAAAGAGATAATTAAAAGGCCTCGGCCCCAGCCGAAGAAGATTACCATCCCTAAACTTTCGGCTGAGGCCGACAGCTGCCAGCATATTCTCTTGGAAAACATAGTGCGTATCGGGGAGCCAAGTCTCCGGGATATGCTGCATTCGGCCGCTGCCTCCCCGGTTCGGCAGCTTGCCGAAGATGTTCTGCTGATTAAGGTTCGGGTCTGGCCCGCTATCTTCGGGAGGACCTAAACTTCCCATATCAGGATCCGGCTCGGCAAGATACCGGGGAGCGCTGAAAACATAAGGATGGCTCGGCTCCGTGGGCGCCCTAACCCAAATCCATTGACCTCTCCAGTCCTTGTCTGAAGAGTCGTTCGGCCACATGGTTAGGAACGGGGGCCGAGACTCAATCCGATACCACCCAGAACCATGGCTTCCGTGCCCACTCTGAATATTTGGCACTAGCCGATGGAGCTTTCTGAAGCAGTGCAGGTTCGGCACGTATCTGAAGAATTTGCAGACCCATAAGTACGTCATTACCCTTCGGATGCTGGTGGGGGTCAGCTGGCACAGGGAAATGTTGTAATGGATCAGCAAGTCTCGAACGAATACGTCCAAAGGGAACCTCAGCCCATACTGAAGCTGTCTCGTGTACACCCCCACATACCCCGGGGGTGGACGATGGATTCTATCGGATGCTGAGGGCATTCGGCACCAATATCCATCAGCTTCAAAAATGCCGTAGTGCAACTCAATTTGTTCAGCAAATCGATATTGATCGGCGTTCTCTACCCACCATGAGTAGGGACGGTTCTTTATCATGGCCGAAGCTACTTCGGCATCCTCCCACTCTGAAAACCCTGGGAGGATATCCCAAAGGACAGCGGGAACTTCATCATCCCGTCCTGAAGCTCTCACCCCCTCAGCCCTCTGAGGAGGAGCCGAAGAAATGGGAGTCGCCCTAACCCCTTCAGCAGGGTCAGACTCTGTCCTTCGTCCATTCCAGGTCCCAATCCTGTCCCTGGGATCGGGGATTAGCCTTGCTCTTCTTGGAGCACGGGCTCCACCTCTAACTCCCCTCACCATTGACGAATTTCGAAGGAAAAAGTCGAAAAAGGGGAAAGAGTGCAAAGTCGAAGAAAGATGAAATAAAATCAAAGGAATTTACCTTGATCTGAAGCAAAAGCCGCCGATTTACGAATTGGTAGTGACAAGTCTCAGCTTCTAAGCTTAATGCTCGGGGAATTTGCGAAGTTTTGATGCGGGCTCTTGAGCGTTCTTGAGAATTCTGGGTTTGTGTTGATGAGTGAGTGGGGAGAGAAGGCGCGCCTCTATTTATATCTCCAGAAATGGGAATTCAAGGAGTCTGCGTTTCAATTTCTCTCAAGCACCCCACTAAGTAACCGTTAAACACACGACCTTGCAGTTAAGTCGCCCACTACCCATCCAACTTCCGCAATCATCCACATTAACTGTTGTTATCTCATTAATCATGGGTTAATTACGGTTTAAATTCACATTTTTGGATTAACAAATCATTCACTTCCCTCCTTTTCTGGTTAAATCAAACCCGACCCGTCATCCTTCCAAATCGGGTCTGGGGGGCAAGTTGTTTGGGTCCAATTTAGTCCAATTGGGCCTGGTCACTGAATGATCCAATTAAAAGCCCAAGGCAAAGGTTCAACTCTCCAAATATGCTAAAGTCAAAAATCAACATCCTCAAAGCCATGTCAAGGTCAGTCAACGGCCCAATCAGCTTGGCCCAGCCCAACTGATTTCCGGGCCCAATCCGCCTCCTTCATTAGCCAAGGTATAAAAGCCAACAATTTGGTCAATTCTTGGTAAGACAAAGAAAGAAGACAAAGAAAGAAGACAAAGACAATAAAGCCTCAAGCAACTAAACTCTTGCACAGCTTTCTCTCTCTAATATACTGACTTAAGCATCGGAGGGGCCTTCCTCGGCGTTCCCCCCCGAGGCTAGTTTACGTGTATTTGTTGTGCAGGAAACCCTCGGCTCCTGCGTCGTTCGGACCGAGACCAAGTTCCCTCAAGATAAAAGGATCTTCCGAGATTCGATTGTTTTCATCCGAAACACGTATAGTACAACAATTATTAATGTCAAGTGGGAACGTAATAATTTACTTGATGATAAGTGGAGTATAAGAATCAAATCTAGGAGATTTCGAAGAGAATTCGTAATTGTACTTGTATAATATTGTAATATAATTATGGCTGATAGAATTAAATTCAGGAGATTTAGAAGAGAATTCATAGTTGCACTCGTATGAGTGTGATATAATTATGGTTATAATTATGTGTGGCTCATTTCAGAAATGGTTTATAATATGTTTAGCGTTTTTCAAAAATGATATGATCATAAATAAAGTTATTTGGTTTGAATATTACGCATCTAACAATATCTCATTATGTGATATCATATTACGGGGTATCTTACTTGATCAAAGTTGGCCCGACTTGAAATATGTTGGGTTGGGTAAGATTTTTGGGCCCGATTTCAATGCTAACCCTATGATTCTGAAATAATTTTGGGTTTTAGGCTGTTCAAATGTTAGATGTGTAAAAAATTAGGCAGGGCTCGTATTGGCTTAAAAATTAGTCATTTTTTGTATTCAAAATAGCGGGTTTAAACATGGCTTATGACCACATCTACTTATATATATGTAAATTTAAAAGTTTAGTTAAATTTCAAAATTAGATAAAAAAAAAACTATTGGCAATAGAAAATTAACTAAACTATGAATGATTAATTATTTGGTTTGACCAGTCTAAATTGATGGTTAGATCTATTTGAGCTTTGTTTATTCGCTTAAGCTATGCAATGGCAGCGCAATTAGTGAACGTGCCTACCGCAGCCGATGTCCCACCGTAATTAAGCATGATACAATATAATATTTCTGGCTAAGCAAATTTAATTTTTATTTTAAGTATGATATATAGTTGCTACTCATTAGACCTATGCACTATGCAGCTGGCCTTTTTACAAACGGCCAGCTAGTAAAAAACATTTTGAAATAAAATGAAAAATAAATAAATAGATAAAATGTAGCAATATATACAATGTCAATATAATTCAAGACTAATTAAAACTAAGTTATTCTACTCTCCAGTTCATCCTTAGCTTCACCAGTTCCACGTAAATTTACCAACCTTGGGACAAAATTTAGCTTACACAAACTACGGTGATTCGATTACAAAACTTTCAACCTTCGCAGTTGAAAGTCCAACCGGGAAATTCCGACTCAGAAAACAAGGATGTGGATGTTGGTGTTGGTGTTGTCTTTGCCAGACGATCTAGTTTTACCCTTCGTCTCATCTGCATTTGAAAAAGTCACCAGTCCAACATGTGAGATGAAAAAAAAAAAAAAAACTTTCATAAGTAAGATGATCTGATATCATATTTATAGCCAAAAATTCGATTTACAACCTCACATTCCAGCCAGCCCTTAAGGTAAGCATTCTAGATCTTTAGGAACTAAATTTTGGTATGACATGAGAAACAAAAAAGATCATCTTAAGGAATTTTTCAAAGTCATCAACAAGACACATCTTTATTTCAACATTTTTAAGGAAGGCATTCTATTTTCTAAATGAGACATTTGAATAAGTAAAGAGTTACCAATTAAACTCTTAAGTATCTGTATATTACCTCTTCCTTGAATATTGTAGAATATGAAGCAGAACTGAAGTCAGAAACCTTCATTTCTGTAGTTTTATCTCTTACAGTCAAATCATTTTCTAGTGACAAAACAAATCTACAGAAAAGCAGCAGAACAAGTTATTAGTTATATTAGACAACTAAATGTCTAAATACACGTAAATACCTTGTATACTGAATTGGTAGTAATATCATATATATACCTCGAAACAGGACAACAATAATGGTGGCGAAGTGTATCAATCTCCCAAAGAGAACTCCCTGTGCCAAGTATAATTGTTACTAAATGGATAAAATTATATGCATAAAGCTATCTATATTGATGTAGAATAAGAACATAAACATTGTTCCGAAAAAACAAAGATGGATCACTAATGTAACCAAAGTTCTGATCACAACATGGTCGGAGATGCTTACTCATTGCATTTGATTTTAAAGGATCACTTTCGTCATCATTGAAAACATCAAACCCTTGCTTTCCTCCGATAATGTCAGAGGCAACAACAACATTACCATCAGCACTGTAAGTTTCTCCATGGGATTCCTGTGACAGACACTGAAATAGAAGTTAATAAATGGTCGAGAAGCTAATCAAACAAAGACTTCATCAAGCATGAGCATTATATTGACCATTTCACAAAAACATAAATATAGGCAATAGAATAAAGACCTTACCTGATGAACTAAAAAATTAATTGATGGATGTCTGTGCAAAAGATTGTAGACCAGTGCTATGATAACCAGTGCCCCAGAAGGAGGTACTACAAGAGACAGTCGGCTCAACTTCTTTGCAAAAGCAGCAGCCAAATATGCTGGAAGAAGTGGGGATTTCAAACAGACATCCAACAGCTACATATACAAGTCAATAAAACAAAAGTCAAACACGTTGTTCTGAGGGCAGTTATAGAATTAAGTCCACAAAAGTGCCTAGCCTCACCTCAAAAAATTTAACGCGATGTTTTGCCATAAATACAGATGGTATTAAAAGTGAATATAGCTTCTGATAGAAGTCAGGGTATTCTATACCATGCTGTGTCATGAGAACAAAGACTCCACTTAGAGCCATTACACTAACAACTCCGCCAACATCATAGGATCTTGTTAAGAAGTCACTGAAAACCAGCAGAAAACAAATCAAAACTATACAGAGAAAAAGAATTTACAGAAAATGAAGGATGGAGCAATATATAGGAAAGAAGAGACTGCACAATAAAATCACCATAGCATCTCGGGCTTAGACAAATAAGGAATGACAGCCTGAGGCAATTTGACAAGTACCTGACCATTTAAAAAAAATATTTATTTTCAGGTAATTGGTCCAGACTTCAAACAAGCACAGCTCAATATGCCAACTGCTAAACTATGAATACAGAGCAAACATGTAGTGCAGGCAGCCTTACCTCCTTGTAGACCTCAACCGAAAGTGGTAACTTAAGGAATGACATCCAAGCCTTGGTAAACTTCAGCTTCAGCTTTACTCTCTGGAAGACATCAATATACAAGAATACAACAGTTGAAACGAAACTGCAACATATAATGTAACATGATACAGGAGAATGTCATGCTCACTACAGATCATAGCAAATACTTGTTACAGGAAAAGGTGAATTAAAACTGGGGATTAATGTATTTATTAAAAATGCAAGAATAAATAAGTACAAATTGAAGTTTCAAAATCTCTTTATTCCCAATGTTGCATGTGATGAATATTAATTAGTGGACAGAAGGTTTAACATGGTCTGGTACACAAAAATTTGGTGCACAGTATGCAAGCACACAAGAGCTTATGCCTCTCATTCTTGGATATCAGACGAGATGGTGCACTCGCACACATTTGATTTTCTCATGCTTCCTAATTTTAATCATCTCCACAACATACCCAATAAAAGCATGAACAAACAAAGCACCACTAACCTTTTTAGCAGATTTATCTTTTTCCTCCTGGCCACCTCTCCTTTCTTTACACTTAGGACTCTCCTGAGTATTGCCTTCTTTAGAACAAAAGCCTGATATGTTGTGAATAAAGACAACATATTTAGATTTAAGAGCAGAAAGAGAGACAAGAAAAATAACTCGAGAAATAAAAAACTTCTATATAACAGGCAGAAGGCGAAACAGTACAGGAAGACAAAGTTGACAGCATGACACTGCCCACAAATCCCCAACTCATAAGTCCCCAATATGATAGGCAAATGACACTCTTCATTTCGATGCAAAGACAAAGAAATTGAAGAATCAAGAGACAATAATCCAGAGAATTAAAAATAAAATAAATCCAAAAAATAGAAGAGATATCATTTCACAAAGGTACTGACCATTGCTCCACACTTCAAAGTCGGTATCTGAGTCACCTAATGGAGGAATGTGTGAAAGGATGAAGAGGATCTTGTTTATTGAGTGATCTAGGCTGTTCAAACACAAAATATAATGAAAGTCAGAACCAAAAGCAAACTTCAGGCCAAGATCTTCCTCACGTGACAAGTCACAAACCAACATCTTCCACAGATCACAAGTAAAAATATGAGACACTTCATTAGTTAACTGAATTATAAACCAGTCAACGACAAAACATACACAGAGAATGAGACTGCAATACTTAATCAAAGTTGTCAGCAAATGAGATGGCAAGACATGTATATATTGATGACCTTATAGAGCCAAGTAAAAGAAGAGAAACGATTGACAAGAGTAGCAAAAGTAAAAACAAACCGACCTTACTTGTAGGCCATCTCCTTCAGTCGTACATTTACCTATAAAAATTAGGTAAAGGTGCTTGGAAATTGTATCAAGGATTTCTAGACGAAAGATGGTGGAAAGCAGAAGAAGAAAGTAAACCACAACGAGAATTAACTAAAAGTACCTGAAATTATCCTTTTGTCAAGTGTATTACATGTCTTCTCCACACTCATTAAGGTAAAATAGCTGCAGCAAAATGTTTTGTATAGTGAGTACATGGAAAAACACAAGAAGATCGACTACTAGAAATACTTGGCAGATCTATTTTAAGTTACTAGGAATCTTCATTATTTCACATCAAGAATCTTCAACACACGGACATGGATAAGACACTTAGACACTCTTTTCTGGTACATACTCGGGAAAAATTTTCATCAAAATAGTCGTGTCAAATATGAGCCATATCAAACACATAAAACTTGTACTAGTACCAAGTAAATAGATGCTCAACTTTTTAGTTTCACCCACACAATCCACCAAACTACAGTCAATCAAAGTCTAAAGCCAATTCAATACAGGATAATAGAAAATTATACAAAATTTAACCAAAGTGTAAATGTTGTTACAATCAATGATAAAGCAGTAGTGACAAAAGAAGAAACATGGGAAAAGGCGGTCTCATACCGTACATCAATGTACTTGAAGTAGTTTGATGCTAAAGAATCAAGAAAGAATTCAACTCCCAAAGGAGAATAAACCTGAGAGTCAATTATATCATATGGCATTAACAAAGGTACTAAATTTAGTGGGCATTTCGAAAGCACAATTGTATTCTTATCACTTACTAGAGCTTGAATTAAGCTTTGGTAGAGATCAAAATAGAAATCTCCTTTTTTCTTAAGCTTCACAAACTCCATTATCTCATCCAAAACAGCCATCTATAAACATAACAGCCTTTGTCATAAAATTTACAAATTCTAGAGGTGATCATAGTTCATGTTTGACCTAAAAAAAATATTTTTTTGAGAAATTGTATATATACACCAGAATACACGGTACATTTAACAATAATTTTGACTCACTTGGATGATTATTGATTATTTAATCATCAAACTAAGAACAAAAACAAACTTTGATTTAGTTAGGTACACCGTGCACCCGAGTGTATGTATATAAATTTATAAGCACTCCAAATCAACAATCACCCCCATCAAATTGATATTGAAATATAAGTTTAGAATCAATAAAAAATGAGAATTGTGAACTCAACTACAAATTCAGGGTTGGATTGTGGGGTGATGTAATTTAACAGGATTTCGATGCTTCCTTTCTTCATACTTTCGTTTTTAGTTGACGATGCTAGAAGGTGGCTGAGTTCTTCGAGTGAGACATTGGGTTCCGCCTTCCTCTTCTTGTTTACGCCGCATCGTTTCAGTACCATCTTCACCTTCAAAGGTTCTGCAATACATTGGCAACCAAATTTCAATTAATTATATTATCTCGAAAAATCATACTCGTATAATTTTGGGGATAGTTGATTCAATTATCAATTAGGCTCATAATTCTCTTTTTTGGCTGGTTATGATCATTCATAATCTTAGTAATTAGAAACAATAGTTCAGAATTTCGAATCCTAAATTGTGAAATTGATATGATAACAATCAAATTAAATTAAACCCTAGATTGTGAAATTGATATGATGAATTGATGATTACAATTATAAAGCCTTAGACCTGCGTCAAAAATACATTTGGTACACTGATACCGTGATACGTGATACGTGAACGTGAGGACTGAGGAAGTAAGGAGCAAGAGGAGTTTTTTTTTTTTTTTTTTTTTTTTGGGCTTATGGAGTTATAGGTTATAGGTTCAACTCGTTTGGGCCTATGCAAATGCACATATATTTACTTGTATTAGGGTCTGTTCTCATACGTTGAAATCCAATTCATTTCAGCTTTTAATTTCCTTCTCTTATAAAATATTCAGTTCAGTTCTGTTCAATTCAACTAAGTTCACTCAATGAGAACAAGTCCTTAATGTTGTCTTATGTAATTTTAAAAAAAGTTAATTTAATAAAGGGGTAATGTTATATGTAGTCCTAATTTAAGAGCTATATATAATCATTAAATTTACTCTTGAAAATTGTATAAAATTAGGAATTCATGACAAAGACAAGCGTAAATTAGTGTAATAAGTGTTTATATTTTCAACATTTTCCTTAATATATATCCTTGATTTTTTTTTTGAAACAATATATCCTTAAAATTCTTGTATGCTACATTAATATTTTTTTATGTTAAAAAAATTTCAAATTTTTTGGATAGAATTTTTTATTTTTTTTTTAGAAAAAAAAGAATAATAAAATAGTATTTTGGAGGGAATTTTTTTTTCATATAATTGTGCCAAGTGTCCAATTTGGTGATTATTTAGTATATAGTATACATGGGTTGGAGCTTTGTTATAAGCCTTGACCCGCCCCAATTGAAAATGGGTCGAGTCGGTCCAATAAATAATTTTTTAAATTTTAATTTAAGGGAAGAAAAACGGTTATTCTATAATCTTCTTTAATTTCTTACCACCTCTATGAAATTTTATTATATTTCAAAGGCTTTTGTATTCATAAATTAGATTATATCGGATAGTTATAATATTTATTGCCGCTGATAAATTTGCACCTTCTATTGTCACTATCGCACATTTCTATTGTCAGTATCGCACTTGGTTAACCTTCTTGCTTCCTCATTTCTCAAAAATGTCAGTATCACACATTTCTTTCTTAATTAAAAGTTCTTATTGAATTTCCTCTTAGGGGTGTTCAATATTGACCTTAGGGGTGTTTAATATTCAAAAATCAAAATGAATACCACCCATCAAGAATTGAACTACCTAAACTAGTCATCATGTTGGTATTTCAACCCAACTATGGCCAAATCATAATAAACACTTATTGTGCACTATGACTTGGAATGGGCCAATATGGGCTTTATGAATAGTCATTATGTTGGTATTTCAACCCAACTATGGCCAGGCCAAATCATAATGAATAGTCATCATGTTGGTATTTCAACCCAACTATGGCCAGGCCAAATCATAATAAACGAAAAAGTAAAATGTTTCAACTTTCAATGGTTTGTATGACTAATAATCTTCAAACGTTGATTCAGTTGGTCGCATGAATATTTTTTTAAACTAAAATTGTGCACTTGAACAGTTGTGACTAAGGTGTATTATTCCACATATTACTAATATCTAATAATTTATTAAATCTAATGGAATATTATAAGCATAAAAAAATGATTTGTTTTTTAACAAATAGAACTAAGAAATAAACAAACTTAACAACAAACCAAACTAAAAGGTTCAGAAAAGGACATTCCTATGACCAGCTGCAACCGCCAACCAATGTGCAGGCGCAACCCACATTTGTTGAAATTATATATATTAGCTTACAATTCTACATGATAATGACTTGCATGCAAGCTACATGAAAGGGAGTAAGATAAGGATGGGCATGCCAAGGCATGCTGTTTATTGAAAGAAAATATTAACAAGTTAACTTTATAAGCATAATTAGTTGGTACAAGGTGTTTATTATATAGTCATTAAGATAAGTTTAGACTAACCAAATCGGATCATAGCATATCTTGTGTACGTTTGGCCACACCCTGTGACCGCTTGTAAATTAACAAAGTAATTCTTATACCCCTAACCGAGTAATTAATCCTTATAATACTCACCAAATAACCCCTATTACATTAATAAAGTAACACCTATAAAACTGACTGAGTAACCCCTATAGCACTAACGATGGAACCCTTATAATGACTAGTCACACGATATGATCAGCCACATATAAGAGTTTATGAATCGAATAATAGTCAACTTTGTAAATAAATGCTTGATTATTATTATTATTTTTTTAAAAAAAAAATTTCAGGTGATACACATATCATATACTGATACCTCATACCTGTTATACATAAGACCTATTTGAAACATAATTACACTTGGTCTTCAACTAATTATTAAAAAAATTTGTGTAACATATACAAAGCGTCGAAAGCGAAATTGAAATAATTGAAAGAGATATAGAATGAATTTGGTAATTATGTATAGATGAAGACAACTCAAAACCGACTTTGACTATTCTACATTCTTATTTTTTATCAAAAATAATATATAAAACAAGTTATTTTTTAGTTTATAAAGAAAGCAATTAAGGTGATCAGGAAAAAACACCAAGCTAATAAGAGAGGTCAACATGGGAGAGGCCAATATTGTGGTATGCATACTTTTGGGCATCCTAGGTTTCGTTGCTGCTGGTCTTGGTTTTGCTGCTGAGGCCACTAAGATTAAGGTACATTTTGTGTTTAATTAGATTATCTTGCCCATTTTGTAATACGAGTATAATTTAATAATTTATATATTGGCTTTTGATATTGCATATCATATCAATTTCCATGCCAAATTGTACTGTTGCTTTAAATTAAAGGAAATTAATAATCGTTTTGTTTGCAAATAAAAGTCTCAATTTTTTTATTTTTTATTTTTTATTTTTTTTTTGCAAACAAGTACCTTAAAAAAAACTTTTAACTAGTGCATTTTTATTGATTAGAGGTGCACAAATATAAGTTTGTTTATCAAAAGTGAAAAACAAAGTTATGTTTGAAAGATTAAAACTGAGTTATTTTCTTAACGGTAGTAAGAGTGAAAAATAGATATTGGTCAAGTAAGACTGTAAGAATGAGGTTTTTATTAAAAACATTTTTGGTTTTCAAAATCAAGATACGTAAACTATTCAAATTTACATATATTTAAATTTGATGGTTGGTCGATGGTTGACTACACGGTGTGACCAACCACATATAAAAGTTTGTGTTTAACTTTTTATTCATATGGAAAAAAATAAATTATTAAGCACAAAATAAAAACGACTTGGAGTTAAGCTCAAACTCTTATTGTAACTTTGTAACTTATTAATTATTTTTTAATAATGATGGTTATTATCAGGTGTCTGACATAGTTATAACGGGATTTGGTTGCGACTACCCTAGCAGTCCAGCTAACATACTTGGATACGTTGCAGCCATACTCTTACTTGCCGTCCTTATTATTACTAGTTCTATTACTCGATGCGCTTGCTGCAACAGAAACACTTCTAGCAATACTCAATCCGCCGGAGCCATCTTTTTCTTTATCATATCATGGTACGTACATATTGTAGGGATCGGAAGAGGTCACTACGACTCTCACAAAATCACCAACTCAAGACAATCAACCAATAATTCAAACAAATCAACCCAAATTATTTCACAACTAAATAACCACACACAATATCAGCAATAATACAGTAGCAAAATAGCAATAGCACCAACAATACTAGGAAGAAAAGATAATAATCAACACACTAGACTTTTACGTGGAAAACCCCTTCGATGTGAAGGATAAAAAACCACGGGACCGTTAAGGAGTCCACCCTAACTTCTCTTATTGATAATTGAGAGTAAAATAAACCCAAATCAGTCTACAAAAGGTTTATACACCCACCAACAACAACAAACAACAAGAGATGAAAAATAGAGAACAAGAGGAGTAGAAATCACCCAAAAACAGCACTTCTGTCCAAGGACGATTATGACCAAAACAGAGCTCAAACGACGATCTCCACCGTCCAAAATGAATCCCTTGATGTCAGGAACAAGCTGTCAAAATTTGAGGATGATCCAACGGTTGAATTTCCGGCAACAGCCAGATCTGTAAAGGCTGTCCAGAAAAACCGAGAATGAAACTCTCTCTATTTCTCTCTTTTGTGTGTTCTAATTTTTGTGAATGAATCCTCTCATCACTTCACTTGGCTGCTGCCCTAATCTCACAAACATTTTTTACCCCAAAGCTTTCTAAGAAAGCCACCAAAAAAAAATAAGCCCAAAAGGACTTACTACTAACTAGTAAAAATGTAATAAAAATTGACCAAGTAAAAAGAGCCAAATACAAAAAACATTTTACCACCAATTGGGCTGAACCCATAACAATCTCCCCCTCCAGCCCAACACGAGGAAGACCAACACGCTTCAAGCATCACTTGAAGCTCATTCCCACAAGCTTGTTACAAACATCAAGCTTGCTTCCGGGAACCATCTTAGTCAACATATATGCACCATTCTTGTCGGTGTGGACTTTCTTCAGTTTCAAAAGCCTTTCTTCAATCACATCTCGTAACCAATGATATCGAACATCAATATGCTTAGTACGAGAATGGTACATTGCATTCTTACTCAAATCCATAGCACTTTGACTATCACAAAGCACTACATATTCTCCTTGCTTCAAACCCAACTCTCGAAGGAACCTTTTAAGCCATAGCATCTCTTTGCCTGCTTCCACAGCTGCAATATACTCTGCCTCAGTTGTTGATAATGCTACGCATTTTTGTAGCTTGGATTGCCATGAGATGGCTCCCCCTGAAAAAGTAAACACATAACCTGAGGTAGACTTTCTATTATCAAGATCACCTGCCATTTCTGCATCTGTATATCCTTCAAGTAAAGGTTTGCCACTTCCATAACACAAACTTAACTTGGAAGTGCCTCGCAAGTATCTGAAGATCCACTTCACTGCTTCCCAATGAGCCTTACCCGGATTGGATAAGTATCTACTCACTAATCCAACAGAATGTGCAATATCTGGCCTAGTACAAACCATGGCATACATCAAAGAACCAACAGCAGAAGAATATGGAATAGAAGACATACTTGCTTTCTCCTTCTCTGTTGCAGGACAAGCTTTCTTGCTTAGCTTGAAATGTGTTGCAAGTGGTGTACTAACAGGCTTGGCATGCTTCATATTGAACCTTTCAAGAACCCGTTCAATATACTTTTCTTGTGATAACCATAACATTCCCGCTTTCCTATCACGAGCAATCTCCATGCCTAAGATTTGCTTTGCAGGACCCAAGTCTTTCATGTCAAATGACTTGGACAAGTTTTTCTTCAAGTTGCTAATCATCTCTGAATCTTGTCCAACTATCAGCATATCATCTACATAAAAAAGAAGGATAATGAACTTGCCACCAGGGAACCTCTTAAAGTACACACAAGGATCTGCAGAAGTCCGCTTATAACCATTACTTGTCATAAACGAATGGTACCACTGCCTTGGTGCCTGTTTAAGCCCATAAAGACTCTTTTTCAACTTACAAACAAGATTTTTTTTCACCTTTTCCTCAAATCCTTCAGGTTGCTCCATGTAGATTTCTTCATGCAAGTCACCATGTAAAAAGGCAGTTTTAA